TTTTGCATTGACTTAATTGAGTTAAGTTCTGTGCATGACGGATATTTACACAATCAAGTCACGTATTAAGCAATTACCTGTAAATCTCTATGATGGGCAGTAATCAGTGGCGTACTGAGTATTTTGTGTATGCAGTGTCACTTAAAAAAGCTGACAAATGATTTTTTTTTTTTTTTACTATAACACCAAACTCAGGGATAAGCTTTGTCTTCGACGCACTCGGGGAAACATTTGGTGTGTAAGACCTTTAGAATATTATTAAGAAATTTTTTATAATAAAAAGGTAATAAAAATGCCTAGACTAAAAATATGTAGAGAATCGAACTCAGGACTCACATTAGCATAAAGAACTGTGTTAACAACAGACTAGAGCACCTCACTTGTTCAAGTGGTGTTACTGTAATGGAAATTATCTGTTATTTCTCTTTTAATTTATCATTTGTACATATATTTAGTGATTTTTTCCCCTTGAAGCAGTGTCACGTGACACCGCTTGAAACCACGTGTATCGCCCTTGGCAGTAATTGGTATCCTGGTAAAAATAGTAAGTAACCTACTATCATAGGTAAAATTACATTGGTAGTGCAAAAAATCTTTACATTGTCAGTGTGTATAGCTTAAATCATACTCTATTTAATTTACTTGTCGAAAACTCATGTTCTGGTGGAACTTTGTCTAAGAGGGATATTGTTGCTTATCCTCATATATTGGTCTAGGAAGTCTAATTTTATCATGCACATTGGATGATTAACCTGATTGAGCTTGTATGCTTTCTACTTCATTTCTTATTGGGTGTGTTTTTGGTAGATGCAAAATAAATTCCTCGCTAATAATTTTTGTTGATTAAATCAATTTTCAGAGTTTGGTTACATTGAGTTTTTGAAAATGTTTTCTCCAAGGGAAATATTCTCCACCAAAAGAGTAAAAAATGACTTCTGTTACTTGTGTACATAAGTCGTTTTTCCTTTTAAAGGCATCCCAACTCATATGCCACATCACTTGCTCCAACCAATATTTAGACATTGGTATTAATCTTTAATACTCTGAAAGATGACCGGAACACTATCGTCATATGCTACCTCTACACCGTAAGATTACCCACCTAGTTATAATCTTTTATAGCCAGTCAAACACTACAAAATGTCCAAACAATAATCTTTTTCCCAAAATAAAACATTTCTATGATAATTCCATGGAGGCGTTTTAATTTGTACCAAACTCACGCTTTGTTCGTCTGCCTTTTCACCTTTTTGGTATTTACAGTTGCTTCATAGTAATTAGTACTGGAGTTGAAATAATCACCAAAAACCAGGCATGTTTTGTTTAAAATTGTTGACATATTCTAGTTTTAACTGTCTTTCTGTTGTGGAGTAAGTACTTAAAAATTTGTTATTACTGATTTGGTTAAGAAAAATATTTTGCTACATGGACATTTGTATTGTCTATTGTACATGTGGCTGATTGGCCAGTTTCTGAGGAGTTATCTGCCAGTATTTAAAAAACTTGAGGTTTATAAAACAGATTGGTTTGACAAGGATAAAGTGTAAATAACATATGAATTTGGAGAACCAACATGTAATCTTCTACAGTATATAGAACATGAATGCTAAGAAAAGTGATGTAAAGCTTCTCAGAGCAAAAATGCAAATTTGTCAAAAGAGCATGTCTGCTGATGGTTTAATCCTTGTGTTTGGATTAAAGATGGGGTAGATGTGATCTGAACATGCTTACTAATCATGTGTTAAGTACAAGTTCTTATCATAGTCTGTTGAAGATGGATATTTTTAACATGTCTTCTAAGTTTTCTATTCCAGCAACTGCCAATCAGAAGGACTTTCTACACATCAGCGATTTTGACAAAGCCACTATTTTGAACATCTTGGATAGAGCCAGAGAGGTTAAAGAGTTGCTAAAATCGGGAGAGAGGACATATCTCCCATTCACGGGTAAAACTATGGCAATGATTTTTGCCAAGCCTTCCATGAGGACACGGGTTTCTTTCGAGACAGGGTTTTACTTGCTTGGAGGCCATGCGATATATTTGGGACCAGATGACATACAGATGGGTAAGCGGGAAGAAACTCGTGATGTTGCTCGTGTTCTTTCTCGCTATAATGACATAATTATGGCGAGAGTTTTTGCTCATCAGGTATGCTGGTGAGTTTTCTGTTGTGACTTTTTCCTGGTGCTTGGTAAGAATTAAGGCTTATAAGAAGCATTGCATAACAGATATTTGTTGTAGCGTTACAGCTGTCAAGTCTGCATTTTTGCATCTTTAATTAAAGCCGCTCTTGGCAACTCCATATAATAGTTGAAACAAATATTTTCTTCATGTTCCCTGGGGGCAGCTAGGAGGAAGTAGGGGACGGCGTAAAGAGAAGGCCCATTTATATTTGATGGTCCTACAAATTTTGTTATGATTAAATCTCTGATGGCATTTGGCTCCAAAGACATCAAACTGTCTTTTCTTTTCACATCTCCTGACAACAATGACGCAAACCATCAAGATGCTCTTGAACCTAGTTTTATTACTGCAGCTTACAGATATGGCAATTTGATGATGTTGCTGTGCTTTTCTCAGCAAGTTAATTGAGTGTATAGCTGTTCATGTCTGAATATTCTTTAGGCATTGCTTAATTAGAAATGTGGACCAAGTTATCTGTCCACGGAGTTTAGGAAAATCTCCCCCCTTTCTTTCATTCCCACTGCAAATCAAATATTGGTATCAATTGTATTTCATGTGTTTTGCAGGACATTCTTGATCTAGCTAAATATGCAACTGTGCCTGTGATCAATGGCCTCACAGACTATAACCATCCTTGTCAAATTATGGCTGATGCCCTTACAATGATCGAACATGTCGGTCAGCTGGAAGGAACTAAGGTTAGCTCTTTTTTAGTTTTCTTGATGAAGCAATTACGTTTTATTTATATGCACCCAGAAGATGCAAAAGAGTACATCTCAATCAAGAGGCATTACAGCTCCTTTATATATTCTCACCTTCCACTTCTAAATAGAACACAATGAGCATAGAAAATCCAAAAAGTGATCTATATTGTCTACATTGTTCTTACCAACAAAAGGGATTCAGTATACATCTAACCTTGAGGGTGGATGTGGAAGTGAAACACCTCAAAATATCTCAGATTTCTTTTAAATAATCTCAAACATGTTTTGTTGTATTGGTAATTTGATTTCAATAACCTAGTGGTGGCTGCTTCCAGGTCGTCTATGTTGGAGATGGAAATAACATAGTGCATTCCTGGCTGCTGTTGGCGTCAGTGATACCTTTCCACTTTGTTTGTGCCTGCCCGAAAGGTTTTGAACCTGATCAGGAAACAGTTGAGAAAGCACGACAGGCTGGAGTCAGCAAAATCGAGATAACTAATGATCCTAAGGAGGCTGTTAGAGGTGCTGATGTTGTCTATGCAGATGTCTGGGCCAGCATGGGACAAAAGGAAGAAGCTGCACATCGCCGTCAAGTCTTTCAAGGATTCCAGGTAGGAGCATGAGAAATGGCTCTTATGATCTAGTCAGCTTGTGCAAGTAGGAGAATTAAATACCTATTTCAACCTAACACGAAATAGCTTGGCAGAGAGCTCAATACATTGGCAATTTAGTAGGTTTCTAAAAATACGTCTTGCTATGGCTATCAAGCTATTGAAGCAAGGTTGACTTTATTGAGGGTTTATGAAAATATTATGCGGGGAGTTAATGAACTGCTCCAAATGGTTTTCTATTTAACATTTCTGACCACTGGGATCCAGGTTTGTAGGAGCCAGTTTATCCTTTACTGTTGGGGTGGTTGGGGAGTTATCCAAACTTTCTGGAACTTTAATGGGGCGGTGCTCACTGTGTAGGCACTGCTTGTGCATTAACTTCTTTGTGTGCGATTAGACTTTCATATTAGTGGAAAGGTAGAGACCTGAATCATATTTCTTTTAATATGAAAAACCAAGGTTGCAACATATAGTTAAGGGAGGGTTCGCTAGCAAGTGATACTTGGGTAATAGATAGTTGAAAAGCATCACTCTGATATTTTACTGTGGCTTGCTTCACAGTCAATTAAGTTCTGCAATTTCTGCCAATTCTTAGAAATGGTTTAAGATGGCTATATTTCCTGTTTTCGGGTTAGTGCGATACCCTCTCTAGTTCTGATATACAACTTGAGAAGAATCAAAAGCAAACAATAATCTCAATCCATTGTTTTATATTATCGAAACAAACTTGAACTCTGCCTAACTTGTCAAAATAAACTTGTACTCCCCTACATTCAGAAGCATTTATCGATTCCACACCAACGCTGCAGCACATGCTTGACATTATGTATTATTATTTCTCTACAGGTGGATGAAGAACTGATGAAACTAGCTGGACAAAAAGCGTATTTCATGCACTGTTTGCCAGCAGAAAGAGGAGTTGAAGTTACTGATGGCGTTATTGAAGCACCAAACTCCATTGTATTCCCCCAAGCTGAGAACCGCATGCATGCGCAAAATGCAATTATGCTTCATGTTCTTGGTTTGTAAATGCCCTCTTTTTGACCTAACGAAGAGAGCCTTGTTAGGACCAAAAAGCAAATCCTCACTCTGTTCTCCTTAAACCATTTTGGAGCATTTTAAGAACGTAGAGACTATCTCTGTGCATATAGCTCAACGTGTTCTAGGATTAATTGACTCATGCTGAAAATATTATTTTGCCATGTTACGATATTGTTATTTTGTATGTAAGCAAGTCCCCACAGGAAATGCGGTCCCAAGTTGGTTCCAAGGCATTGGTTAATACCATGTCTTAACTGTTAAAATGGATGTTCCAAGATAACCTTCGCATCTTGTGGCAATTGCCATTTTAGACCCAACAAACCAAAGCTCTGGATCTCTTGAATTAGGGAATGGTCTTCTTTGCTAACTTTATCGTATGACGTTGGTGATAACATGCTTGCACGGTAGATACATCATTTGCATATTTTCTTTAATTCACATCTTCTAGAATTATAATCATTTTGCCCTGATTTTCAAACTAAGGAATCATTAACTTGTGTCCTTGTTAGATTGTTGATAGATCATGTATATACCGGGCAAAAATTAAGGAAATACTTGGAGCTTTTCTCATCCTTTCGAAGTTGTGATTATTGATATAGCACAGGTTGGAGCAGCAGCTCATGGCAATGTAATCATTTACTATTTACCACTCTTCCGAGTTTAAGTTATTCCATGAGGCTTGCGGTTCATTTAGCAAAGAGACATACTGTGATTCAACATTATCACATGGATAAAGACGGTATTTTTGTGGATTTGTTTTACATCAAAATGAGTCTTGTGACTTTTTCCAGGTTGTATGTTCACGACTCTATTCAGTAACATATCCTAGCTTGGTCTCGTTTGGCACTTGCAGGTGAAAGAGTAAAATCTAACTGGACTGAAAAAAACACCAGCGCAAATAAAACTCTGAATAAGCGCAGCAACAAAGAGAGATTAAAATCTACACATTTTGCAAATTGTGGCTATATTTTCAACAGCAGCCATCAAAGTGGCTACATTGTGTTATACTAATCAGCTTAATAGACTGGGCCGTAACTGTTTCGGCCCAAGACCGAGCTACTTTGACTGACAGTGAAGAAAGAGTAGCAGCGATAACCTCTTTCTTCACCCACTTTGCCTTGAACAAAAAGAAAACCAAAATCCATAAGCACAAGGTAAACCATTTCAGAGGGTAGAGTGTGAATCACTCAACATTCTCAGCGCGTGAAGATGTTCAGGAACCAGTACGACACCGACGTAACAACATGGTCGCCGGCGGGAAGGCTATTTCAAGTAGAGTATGCAATGGAAGCAGTTAAACAAGGATCAGCAGCAATAGGACTTCGATCGAAGAGTCACGTCATTCTCGCGTGCGTTAACAAGGCTAATTCTGAACTTTCATCTCACCAGAAGAAGATCTTCAAAGTTGATGACCATATCGGTGTTGCCATCGCCGGACTCACCGCCGACGGTCGTGTACTTTCTCGGTATATGCGTTCGGAATGTATTAATTATAGTTATTCTTATGAATCGCCGTTGCCTGTTGGTCGACTTGTCGTTCAGCTCGCTGATAAAGCTCAGGTACGAAATATTTTATCAAAACCCTTAGAATTGTGTTTGTTATAATGTTTTGTGTGTGTGTCTGCGCGCTATTGTTGTTTGTTGATGAATTGAATTTTTGTATTTGGATTGTGGAAATTAAGGGGTTAGGGTTTTAGTTTGGGTGTTCGATTTGGTTTCTCCATCCATAGATTTGTATTGAGTGAAATGAAATGCATTTTTTCCAGCTGGAATCTGAAACTAAAATCCCTGAGGAATACTCCTTTTCTCGGCCGTTCGCTTATTTCTTACCACTTGTACACCTATTAGGTGGTGTACCAACCAGGTAAAGGAAATCCTTATTTTCTTGTTTAGAGGATTTGGACAAGGTAGTGCTGTGTAAACTTTCAACTGCACCCTTCAGAGTTTTGTTGTAGGCCACAACAACTTACCATAGCCTCAGGCCATCTCCAACCTTACCCCCATTCCCTATAATGGAGGCAATTTTTGGGGTAATTTAGCTCCAACCCTCCCCCATTTTGTCCCCAAAATGGGGGATGAATAGTGTTCCCTCTAATATGGGGCACATTATTCATCTCCCCCCTTACTATTCATCACTTTATTATTATTATTATTTTATTATTTAATCTTTTAATTTATATCTTTATATATACCTAATTTTGTTTATATAATGTCTTTATAATATTAATTTAACATCTTTAACTTTGGTGTATAATTTTGATAAATTAATTTTCATGTATTTATTATTTTTATGTAACATTGTAAGTTAATTTTATTATAAGTTATAATTGTCCAAAAAATATATAATTATCTCAAAGATGATCATTTTGCACATAGAAGAATTGAGGACAAAGATGCTCATTTTGTACTTCGTAATGCATTAATAGATCATTTATGGGAGAATACTAGAGGTTGAAGTTGAATATTTATGTAGTATTTCGAATGAATTTTATCGTTATGTAATATGTATTTAATTAATCTTGTATCGCAATGATTTCACTTTTATAAGGAAGGTCGCGTTAGCGCCCCTTATTTCACTAAAGCAAGAAGGGAGAAAGTTGACTTTGAGAAAGAAGGACTTCTATTTAGATTAGTTTCTTAGTAAAAGATAAGGCAATTATTAGTTAATATATAATAATTGTTTACAAATTATATTATTTAAAATTTTATGGAATTGTTTTAATAGAAATTACAAATTAATAAAAATAAAAGATGGAATTTGTTTAATGAAAATTAAAAAATGAAATTGACATGAATGATAATAATATAATATAGAAGAGAGGGAAGAATATAAAAAAGTTTGGGGAAAAAATGGGGGAATGGTTGGAGTAAGTTATCCACAAAATGGGGAAATTTGGTTGGGGACCAAAATGGGGTAAAAGTTGGAGATGCCCTCACACCTCGACTTTTACTCAAATTCTTAACTAGCAAAATCTGTAATATTCGGGGTAATAGGGATATCTGCAAGATCTCTTACTCATATCATAACATTTCATTTTTGTGTGTGTTCTATTTTGTTTCTCTGAATATATATGTAAAGATGAGCCTTGTTTCTCTGAATATATTGGTGACTGGGATGCAAGCCGGCTTCTTTAGAATTATTTCACATATTACTGAGGATCTGAAATTTTTCGAAAACCCTCTCAAATTTCTAATTGTATATTTACTTATCTTATCAAAAAATAAAATTTAATTATATAAATATCCCATAGGGGTAAGGGCGACACATACATGCATAGTAAAAGAAAACACCGACTAATATTTAGCCTCTCAGTGTTTAGTAGGACATTTGTAATAATATATTTTTGGACAAAGTGCATAAGGGGTGTTCCCATAACTATTAAAGCTTGAGAGTGTGTCTTTGCAAGTGTTGGAAACTCAAGGCACTTCAATTGATACTACCCTTTTCGTTAAGTCATTGATGATGTGCCTTGCATGTGTAAGTCTGTTATAGTCACACTCTTCTGTTTACTAATTTGGAGTAGGTTACATAAAAGTTACCTAGTGGAGGTTTGATAATATTTAGTAATCAATTGTAATAAGTTGCATCAATTTGCCAATTGGAGGTTTGATAACATTTAGTATATTAAGAGGAGTTCAAATGTGAATTTTGTTTAGCCTATGACGAGAAGTTACGATTGCACATATTACTTTAGGTTTCTAATACATAATAGAAAGAAGTTGTATACATAGGAGTAAAATGGGTCCTTGTAGCTTTTGTGTAATATGGTATGTTTTAAAAGCCTTCCTTTAGTGTAAAAGGAACATTATATTGGAGAGGTTCTGTTCCATAGAAGAAATTTGGTCGACTCGACCAAAGAGCTACTTTTGGTTCAACTGATACCTGGATGTGGTCGGTAGCCTAGCAGTAGCACGTGCCTAAGGTCTGCCAAAGCCCTAGGTCTTGAATGAAACACAAGGATTACTTTTGTGTTCTTTTTTATGTCCTAGTGGATATTGATCTAAAACTTTTTGTAGACATGGCTAGTGCAACTTAATCGTTTGAAATTTAGTACTAGTACTACACCAAGTAAATGACTTAGCCTTCGTTGAGTTTAGTGGTTGTGGTTGATTTAATGCTTATTGGCTTCAAAGTCTTCCACTAGCTCAAGGGTTCAAGACTGGTTCAAGGGGAAGACTAGTACATTAAGTAAGTGGTTTTTTAAAGTAGCTGATATGTTCTTCTAAGAAAAAGGGGTTCCCATATACAAGAGATATACAATTCTCTACAAATGCCATACAGTGCCATACAATGATGGATGCCTTATGTTCAAGTTCAACTAAAATAAATGAAAGGCACAATAGGTATTTGCATTTCAATAAACAAGTCATTTATGTTTGGATAATGTTTTTTCTTTGCCCAAAGCTCCTGAGTTCCTCTCCCTCCGTCCAGTCTACAGCTTGGCGGATAACACTCCATCCCCTGGTGTTGTTCCTTTTCTACTCCTTTGTTTCTAAACCCAAAAGCCTATTTAAAATGTTCAGCATCACATTCCGATATTCCATACAATTGACATCACTTTGCTATTTTTCAGAAGATGATTAAGGCCCTCCCATGTTTTCCTAAAACAGCAAGAACCAACTAATGAGTATACTCTTTTTTCATAATTAAATTTTTAGCAATCAGCATAGCACCCTAGAGGAGCTATTAAGTCCCCCCCTCCCCCCAAACAAAAAACTTCAAAAAAGAAAGGAAAAAAAAAAACTGCTTTAGTGCTTCGATGCCCAAGTATCAGTTAAAGAAATTACATCCTTTGCCTCCTCAATCAGACATACTTATGCTGCTACTTGATATACGGAACTATCTGATTTCAAAAGGTTGATGCTTCTTATATGTCTATAGTCTCTGGACATCTTTTTGGTGGCAGGTTTGTACCCAACGATCCTGGAAACGACCTTATGGTGTTGGCCTGCTTGTAGGTGGGCTAGATGAATCTGGCGCTCACCTCTATTACAATTGCCCTAGTGGTAACTACTTTGAATATCAAGCTTTTGCCATTGGATCTCGGTCACAAGCTGCAAAAACATACTTGGAGCGTAGGTACGGGAGTTTCACGGATTCTTCACGAGGAAGTCTGCTTAAGGATGCACTTTTTGCATTGAGGGAGACTTTGCAAGGAGAAAAGCTGACTAGCACGAACTGTACTGTTGCTGTGCTAGGTATAGGAGAGCCTTTCCATATGTTGGATAAAGATACTATTCAAGGATTAATCAATGAATTTGAGTTAGCTGGTGAAGAAGCTCCCGCTGCAAGCACAGATGCAGCTGCTGATGCCGAATCAGCAGTACCTGAAGCGGGCGCCCCTACTGATGAAGGTGCTGCACCAATGGATATATGATGACATTATGTTCTCCTTTGGATGTTATTCCTTCCATATGCAAAAGTTTCTAGTTAGAATATTGAGGTTTCCTTTGGCAGTGGACCATATTTTGTGGTTGGACTTTTTTGTTATGCAATTATGAATATTTCTTTTGCCGAAACATTTAAACTTTCTCCGATCTTCATCATAATTGTACAACATATTGGAATTTCATCAGTTGTTACGATGCTTCATTGGGGCCCAAATTTTACTTTGTGCCTGGGTTGTCCATGTTAGACAAGCGTAATTCAGGATTTTAAATCACTGTTCTACAACTTTTGGAGATATGTTCCACAACTTGTGGAATTTTAAATATTACGTACATAACTGGAGATGAAGATGGTGCATTTCCTTTGCGTTCAATATGGAGCCGTCCTTGCCACTAAACATCTTTTGAACTAATGCTTTTCCCTTTATTCAAAGACAGAGATGCCATCCATCTTTTGTGTAGTTGCACTTTTACTGGAACATGACTGGGCAAAGGTTTACCTCTTTTGACTTCTGAGAAGTCACCAAAGTCGTCTAGGCAAGATTGATATTCGCGCAAATGATTGGAAAAAGCTCCAATTTAAAATATATCCTTTTTGGCAAAAAAATATCTTAAGCGGAGGACAAAAGAATTAGGCAGACTCTCCTCCTGAATTTAGGTTGTGTATGGTTGAAATGTTAGTATTTTACACCTGAGTCTATCAAGGAACTTCAAGAGAAAAAAGGACCTTAACTTCTTCTGTTCCTAAATACTTTTGACAATCTTTGACTTCACAGCTCCATAATCCAATACATGTACTAGTAGGAGGTAGTAGGTGTCATGAAATAGTCGAGGTGCACCATTGTTAGTAAAAAAGATTCTCAATGTTTACCAATCATTGGAAAGAGGAGCAGTGAGCTAAAGAAGATGGGTTATAGGGAGAAAAGTGGGGCTGGAACCTGAATTCCTATGTTCTTACATATCAGACTGTTTTTGCTCTATACCTACATAGATTCCTACTGCAAATTTTGCAGAATATTACCCACTATAAATTTGAGAATAAGGACCCTCCACTCCAGTAGTATTAAAGAATCTCGAAGCAAGTTGTCTAAAAGGGGAAAATTTATCCCTTTTTGATAATTATGAGAGGCTTTCAGAAAGCAAACATTCAACCAATGAAAGTATTTCATTTTCAGAAAGATAGATACTTCACAAAACTGGTCCTAATTAACAGGACCTTAAACCTGAATGTGATGTGTTTACTTGACTAGTCAAGTTACACAATTCAACAATGGGAAGTTCACAAGGCCTAATGCATCTTTCTCCTTATCTTTTGGAACCTTTACATCATTCACCCATAAAAATCTTCTTTCCATATGATTCAACCACTAGATATATATCTTCTTTTGTTTTCCCCTAACTTAGAGTAAAATGAGACCCTTTGGCTTCACACTTTCATAAAGGCTAAAATATCCTCCATGATTACGTACGTACCAATCATAGGGAAGAGGCATTTGTAAGCAAAACCAGACAAATTTTAGTGGGGCTTTATTCCATAGCATTCCTGTTGCAGAATATTATTACCTTTGAAATTTGAGAGAGAGTATGAAAAGATCCCCAAACAACTTGTCTATAATGGGATATTCCATTTCTTCTTTGATAATCCAAACAACTCAACTATACAAACATACAAGTGTTTACACTTTCAGAATGACTGGAACTTTATAGCAAAGGTTAGGTTTCTTATTTTGGGCATGAGAGTGGAAAATTAACATCATAAATAGCTTGATAATATTAGTACTTTTGATGAATATATTGTAACACTCCTCAAATTTATAAAAGTTTCAAGACACGCTAATTATAGTACTAAATTATTATTATTATTTTTTTCTTACCTATAATGAAAAATAAATAAATAATATATTATACATACATACATATATATATATATATATATATATATATATATATATACAGACACACTTAAATAATTGGATATACAATTAGGAAATATTAAAATTGTTAATATTACTAATTACAAAGAATGAGTATCATTAATTACTAATTAAGTTAAAAAAAAAAAGAGAAAGGAAAAGCCTAAAACCCATAAAGTGGGAAGGCAAAAGGCAAAGCCTTAAACAAAACAAAACAAAACAAACAAAAAGCCTAAAGGCTAAAAAGCCTTAACAGAACAAAAAAGCTAAAACGTGCATTCAACATAAGGCTAAGAAGTCTTACACGATAAACTGAAACAGAGCGCTACGAAATAGAGGCAGCGACTCATTCAACGAAAAAAAATCTAGGGTTCTTTACAAATCACTTATTCGTGAATTTAGGTATATAAAATTCCCTATTGTCAATTATCCTAAGTAGTAATAGGTAAGACTTGAATAGTTAATTCCCTTCTTTCTCTATATCAACAGTAAAGTTCTGTGTTTAGGTGCGAAACTTTAAAATTAATTAAAACGCACTGATTGTTGTAGAATCGATTGTTTGGCTGGTGTCAATTGGACTGGGGCCTACGTATTGGCTCGAAAAGTTTTGAGGTGAGTTAATACAACCCTTTACTAAAGTGGTTTAACTCACAAAAGCACGCATACAAGGTGTTTGATGAATTGCTTAAAAGAGTTTATAATTACTTAATTGGAACGAGTGAGTACCTATTAACTTAGAATTGTTCTAGCAAAAGTTTAGATGATTATTCTGATATATGTGCATAAATTTTCAGATTTTTGTGTTATTCTTATATGCTATTTTCATGTTGAAAATTTATGAAGGAGCAAGAATCTTTAGAAATACTTTTAGATATTTATTTCATTTTTATGCCATGCTTTACATTTAAGGATACCAGCATGAGCATGTACATGATGTTCCAAAAAGAAAAGATTTAGACTTGAAAAGTTACAAGAAGAAGTTTTAGAAAGAAAAGATTTTTGGGAGTATCCTTTATTCTGAGAAGGGGTCATCGTCCAGGCCGAGGGTCCTGACTAAGGCGTTAACTTGCTAAAACTACTTGTGCCAAAGTAGGGAGCACACGAGCCGAGGGTTTCGTTGCTGAGAATTTACTTGGCCATGCTAAGGTATGGTACATGAGAGCTGAGAACCATGAAACGAGTGGCACCTCGTGGATTGGGCCTATTCGATTAGGTTGGGATCGAACCCGTGCCGATCACATGGTGACTGAGACAGAATTAAGTCAGGATAGTTGGAACTCCCAAAGTATAAAGAGAAGTAATTTTTTTAAGAAAAAAAGAAAAGAATTTCTTTTAGAATATTCATAAACTGCTATTATGCAATTATTTTAGAATTGTTCTTAGAGGCTTTATGTTTTCTATGCATTTAGATTCCTTGCTCGTAATGTGTATTGTATTAAAGTTTCGTCCCCTGTTGTTGAGACTCACTGAGTACAATGGATGTACTGACGTTCTCTTTTGGGAACCTACGTTGGTCTATGGTACATTGTAGGAACCGATTTTGCAGGCGAGCAAGCTACGAGTTAGGATTTCCTTCTCTTCCAGTGCTATTGGTGAGCTCCGCTGTTGTTCGTGGAGTATTCCTTAGAGTCATTTTTATTTAGCTATTTCTTTATTTACTTAGAGAACTGGCCAGGAAATCTCATGTATTGAGCAGTGCGTCAATTTATCAGTAGAGGCTTCATAGACATAGCCGATGGGTTAAGATTCAGATGTTTTTGATAATAACTTAGCAGTAATTCAGTAGTTTCTATGAATAAAGTTTTGGAGTTGATTTATTTAAATATTTAAATTAATTAAAAGTATTTGGTTAGAGTATTGCCTTGTTGCATATAAGGTTTGGAGTTATAATAGATTTGATAAGTAGAGATGGTTTGCTCGGTCATGTTTAGTGATTGAGTGCCAGTCCCGGCTTGTTCGGAAAATGGGTCATGACAAACTTGGTATCAGAGCCTCAGGTTTATGGAGTCCTAGGGGTATATGAAGCCGTGTTAGTAGAGTCTTGTTTATGGGTATGAAGCGCGCCATACTTATAAACAGGAGGCTACAAGCATTTAGAAAAAGTCTCATTTTTCATACTTTAGATCGTGCAGTAGATCCTACCTCTAAACAAATTATCTAATGTATTCATTTCTCTAAAACTCGCAGAAATGGCTCGTACTCGCAACTCTGACACCGACACACAGGATGCAGCTCAAGAAACTATTGCTACTATTGTGGCTCAAGGCAGAACTAAAAAGGCTTCAACTCAGAAAAGGAAAGGTAAATCCACAAAGGGTGTTCAAGTACCCCCGGTTGAACATGAAGAAAGGGTGGAGCATGGTGATCCAGTACCTCAGGATCCAGTGCCGCCCCTAACGACAGCTCCGGCTCAGGCAACTATATCTCCCGAGGTGGGTCAGATCTTTAATGTTGTCTACAGTGCTATGGAGATGTTTAAGGCCTTAATGGCCAACCAGAACGAGAGAAGAGATGAGATTCCACCTCAATCAAATAGACAGAACAATTCTGAGTCCTCAAGAGTGAATGAATTTTTGAAGTTGAGTCCTCCAGTGTTCCATGGTTCTATAGTTGATGAAGATCCAATGTTATAGCTGGAGGGTGTCAAGAAAGCCCTCCGAGTGATGAAAGCATTAGATGATGAAGCTGTGGAGCTGGCTGCTTACCAGCTTAGAGATGTGGCTGGCGCTTGGTTTGAAATGTGGGAAAATGAAAGAGATGAAGATAATGGTCCGCCTACTTGGGAAGAATTTGAAGAGGCCTTCATGGCTAACTTTAACCCAGAAGAGGATAGGGAAGCTAAGGCTACAGAGTTCGAACAACTCAAGCAAGGGAATAAAAGTGTGCAAGAGTACTATATAGAATTCATAAGGTTAGCTAAGCATGCTCCTCACATGGTTAAGACAGAAAAAGTAAAGATTCGCAGGTTTGTTGGCGGTTTAGCTTACCATATTAAGGATAAGACATCAGCTGCAGTGGTAGGGATGACAGCCTTCTCCTCTGTTGTGGGATTTGCCAAGCACTTAGAAAAAGACAGACAACATAGGAGAGAAGAAAAAGAGCATAACAAGAAAGCCCGGACAACGGTCAGGTTTAATGGTACATCCAGCGGAGGTGGAAGGGATTCCTCTAATAAGGAGTCATTAGCACCAACTTAGTCTAGTCATCGGTTAGGTGGTGGGTCTTCCTTCAGACGTACTCAGAGTTACGGAAACCAGTCTCGCCAGAATCAGAATTTTAGGACATCATCCTC